GGAGGTGTCTTCTTGCAGACGAGCACATTTTTCCATGGGGTGTGACCATCCCTCTGGTAGTTACAAGACAGAAGGGAGAGAAGGTATCGCAGTCAAAGGTTAGAATTGGTGTGCAGTGAACAAATGACATTGACAATGGAGTTAATGTGAAAGCTGCAGTGGAATGAAGAGTGTTACTTCGTCGGTTGGCAAAACATGGATGTCTCAGCATCGCCACAGGAGTGGTCCCAGTCTTCACCTGCAAAGGCCAGGATTCTCTCTTTGTAGGAGGTGAGGAGTCTAATGTCAGGTATGCTTCCACTTGCCTGCATCTTTTTAACACAACTGTGGGCTGTTGCCTCCAGGAGTGAGACAAAGGGGGAAACTGAGTGAGGTGAAAGGCGGTACAACTGTTCGTGTTGGTGTAGGTGGTCAAAAGATGGTGTGTTCACATGTGTGATTAGATAATGCAGAGGCCATACAGGTTTAGTGGTTATATGGATTGGGGGTGGGAGGAATAACACCAAGTGAGAAAGATATAGCATGCAATTAGTAAGGGCGATAGCATGAGCCTTGGTCGAGAATTTGTGCAGTCACAGGGATAGAGTGAGTATGAGGTAGTAGAGAGAAGAGTGTGGCACTTACTTTTACAGAATGGAGAAGGTCATTGACCTTCTTGTGGCACTGCTGCCATTGCTCTGGATGGCACTAACTCATGTGGCAACCTCAGACCAGACTGCCAGGGTATGGTGGCATGGCCTCCAATGCCGATCCTCCGGGAAAAGGTCAGCCCTCCTCAGGATGATCCCATCTATCAGGACCACCTGATCTCTGTCAGAGAATTATGGTACCATTTTCCCCTTCTCAGACAACTTTGGAAAATCTGACCTTCAATAAGTGGAGCAGCTTTGGAATGTCAGTGCTTGTTCAAGTACACAAACAGAAGTTGCTCGAAAAGCTCAGCAGGTCTGGCAGCATCTGCGAAGAAAAATCAGAGTTAACGTTTCAGGTCTGGACTTGAAACATTAAGTCTGATTTTTCTTCACAGATGCTGCCAGAACTGCCAAGCTTTTCCAGCAACTTCTGTTTATGTTCCTGATTTACAGCATCTGCAGTTCTTTCAGTTTTTATCTTGTTCAAGTACACAGTGGCCGCATTAAGATGGCACAGGTGTCAGGAATCTAGTGAGTGATGAGGTTGTCCAACAATCATGTACGGTAGGATGGAGTTAAGTTGAGAGAGAGGAACACCATAAGGGTGGTTAGGTGAGTTTGGTATGATAAGGCGAGAGATATCACGAAGTCTTGTGGAGTGAAACCTTCTGTGAAAAGGAACAAAACTGACACAGACAAAAAAACATAAGATTCAGCCTGTCTTCTTATATTTAGAGTAAGGATAATGGGAAGGTCCAGTAGGTTTACTTAGAGATTATATAGAAATCCCAGGGATAACACAGTGTGGAGCCGGAGGAACACAGCAGGCAAGGCAGCATCAAAGGAGCAGGAAAGTTGATGTTTTGGGTCGGGACCCTTCTTCAGAAATGGGGGAGGGGGAAGGGAGTTCAGAAATAAATAGAGAGGAGGAGTGGGGCTAGGGAAGGTAGGTGGGATGGTGACAGGTGAGTGTAGGTAGAGAGTGGTGGGGATTGGTCAGTGAGGTAGGAGGAGCGGATAGGTGGGAAAGAAGATGGACGGGTTGTGTCAGGTCAAGGAGGCAGGGATGAGAGGGAGAGTTGGTCATGGGATGAGACCGGGGGTGGGGAGATTTTGAAACTGGTAAAGTCCGTGTTTAGGCCATTGGGCTATAGGCTCCCAACGTGGAATATGAGGTGCTGCTCCTCCAGTTTCCGGGTGGCGTCATTGTGACACTAGAGTAGGTCCAGGATGGACATGTCAGCAGGGGTATGGGGGGGAGTTGAAATGGTTCATGACCAGAAGGTGTTGTCGTTTATCGTGAACAGAATGCAGGTGCTCTACAAAGCGGTCTCCGAGCCTCCACTTGGTCTCGCTGATGTAGAGAAAGCCACATCGGGAGTAGCAGATGCAATAGATCACATTGACGGATGTGCAGGTGAACCTTTGTCTGATGTGAAAGGTTTGTTTGGTGCCTTGAATGCAGGTGAGGGGGGAGGTGTAGGGGCAGGTGTAGCACTTCCTGCGGTTGTACAGAAAGATGCCAGGGGTGGTGGGGCTAGTGGGGAGTGTGGAGCAAACGAGAGAGTCGCAGAGAGAGTGGTCCCTACAAAAGGCAGATGGGGGTGGGGAGGGAAATATATGTTTGGTTGTGGGGTCAGATTGTAGGTGGCGGAAGTGGCGGAGAATGATATGTTGGATACCGAGGTTAGTGGGTGATATGTGAGGACAACGGGGTTTTTGTCTTTGTTTTTGTTGGGGGGAGGGAATGTGAGGGCAGAGGTGCAGGAAACGCAAGAGATGCGGTCGACAGCATTTTCAACCACCGAAGAGGTAAATTGCAGTCCTTGAAATAAGAGGACATCTGGGATGTTCAGGAGTGGAACGCCCCATCTTGGGAGTAGATGCGGAGGAGGCCCAAATCCTCCCAACCCTCCCTCTCGTTCCCGCCTCCTTGACCTGACACAACCTGTCCATCTTCTCTCCCACCTATCCGCTCTTCCCACCTCACTGACCAATCCCCACCACTCCCTACCTGCACTCACCTATCACCATCCCACCTACCTTCCCCAGCCCCACTCCTCCTCTCTCTATTTATTTCAGAGCTCCCTTCCCCCTCCCCCATTTCTGAAGATGGGTCCTGACCCAAAACGTCAACATTCCTGCTCCTCTGTTGCTACCATATCCTGCTGTATTCCTCCAGCTCCACACTGTGTTATCTCTGACTCCAGCATCGGCTGTCCTTGTTATCTCTGAGTGAGATACACCCAGACACGCGATGCTAGTTAAGTATGATGTGGACACTCTATTGGGAGGCAGTGGTCTTGTGGTATTGTTCCTAGGCTAGTAGTCCAGAGGCCCCCAGACTAATGCCCTCACTGTGGAAGATAGAATGTTTGAATGCAATAAAAATTGTCATGAAAAACCCATCTGGTTCACTAATGCCCTTTGATGCAGGAAATCTGACATCCCACAGCAATGTGGTTGGTTCTTAACTACACTCTGAGCAATAAATGCTGGCACAGCCAACATCCCATGAACAAATACAAAAATAAAATTCAGTACTAATAAAACAATGGACCAAATTTTTGGAGGACTGGCAATCACTTGTAGATTGCCACTTTAGCCCTTCTTTTATGAAAAAACAATTCCACATTTCTGAGAGGAGATTCTAATCGGGACTCCTTCTGAAATGCAGACCTGTTCTTCTATTCTGACAGTTCTTTTGTGATGCAGAATTGTCAGAGGAAGGAAAGCCATGCTCCCTTTTCATACCAGCCAGCTGCTGCATTCTGAGATTTAAAGGTCCAGACAGTGACTTTGGAAGCTGCTGTCAAATAGTGAATACATCAGATTAGTATAGTGTTATGGTGCTGGGAGGCTATGGTGACAGATGCGTAGAATGCTAGTATGCCAGACAGGAATGGTGCCATGAAAGTAGAATGGTAGAATGCCGGTTGGGGAATGGTGGAATGCCAGGGATTAGGATGCCAGATAGTTAGTGGTGGGTTCCAATGTTTCAGGTAAATAGGATGCCAGTTGGATCAGATACCTGCTAGGAAGAGGTAGGGTGCCAGAGTGAGGGATGCTAGATGGGAAGGGGTTGGATGCCTGAGTTGGGTTGCCAGATGAGTAGGTGTTAGGGTGGCAGGCAGGTAGGCTGTTGGGTTGTGAAGTGCCTGCTGGGTAGGGAAGATGCCTAACAGTAAGATGCCAGATGCATAGGGATGGAGTGCCAGGTATGTAGGGTGCTAGCTGGGGAAATGGTACAGTGACATGCATAAAATGCCCGAGCGGGATGCACTGTGCATGAGTAGGGGTAAGGTGCAAGGTAAGTAGGGTGCCGAGTGGGAACGCGATGGGCTGCAAAAGGTGATAAAGCATCTGGAATTTGGCAAGGGGGCCAGGTCAGTGCTACAGTCTCTAGGGTAAGGTGAGGAGGGTGGATGTCAGTTCTGGTGGGTTCAGGTCCAATGTCAAAATCTCCCTGCGTAACTCCCATCTACGATGAAATAACAACTGCTTGGCCATCAGAAAATCTGGCCTAACATCCTTTTGATTGAGCCCAGAAAAGCTTCTTAAAAGGGATAGAAATTAAATTATAAAGAGTTACAAGTTGGTAAATTTTTTTGCCATCAGTTAAAGACAACTTGTTTGCAAAAACTAGATGTTTTCTTGTTAAGTACAGTTAAAGTTAAATGTAAAGTTACAGTTAAATGCCAGTTTTAATCCTTTATATTCCCACCCCACCACACCTTCCCTGAAAAGGGGTGGCATGGTTGGCTTAGTGGTGAGCAGTGCTGTTTCACAGTGGCAGGGACCCAGGTTTGATTCCACCCACAGGTGACTGTGGAGTTTGCACATTCTCCCTGTGTTTGCGTAGGTTTCCTCCGGGTGCTCTAGTTCCCTGCCAAAGTCCAAAGATGTGCAGGTTAGGTGGATTAGCCGTGGGAAATGCAGGGTTATAGGGATAATATGCGGTATGTCTGGGTGAGATGCTCTTCGAATGGTCGGTGTGGACTTGATGGACCAAATGGCTTACTCCACACTGTCGGGATTCTGTGGAACAGTACCTTATGAGTATTTTCTTTTCTACTTGGGTTTGCAATCAAATTAAATGGGGACCCTGGAGAGTTTAATTAAATCTTTCTGTGAAGACTCCGGCGAAAGTGAGGTTTGATTTCCAATGCACTACATCAGCATGCCATAAAAACTATTTATTATATGTTAATATTAAATTTTGCCAGACATGGTAATCCTAGGTATACCAAGCTTTGACCAATCTTATCGTCCATGTATGTTCTAGTCCCTCCCACAACGTGCTATTTCACTCAGTGATGTGTACCTCGGTGACACCAAGGTTGGTCTCAGCTCCTTAAGTACGTCCATCACTGACACACGATCCACAGTCTCGGTCGTCGTCGTCACTATCTGTGGACCAGCCTCGCGTGGGAAGGAGCGAGCGCGAGGGCGGGCTCTGGCTAATGCCGCTGATTGGCCCACCCGCTGGAATAATTAGGCGCGCTGTGCGGGGGCAGGTGAGCGCGTTGTCGTGAGCTCGAGCGCGGCCGTTTGGTGCCGCCGCGCGGGAGCGGGAGCGGGAGCAGGAGGCAGGAGGCAGGAGCCGACCGACCGACCGACCGACCGACCGTGGCGGGGGGGAAGAAAAGAGGAAGGAGCTGCCGGTCCACCTCGCGTCTGGAGTCGGCGGCGGCGGGTCAGCCTCTGATCCAGCTGCCCAGAGAGAGCAGGGGAGTGGGCAAAGAGAGCGACGCACACAATAAACAACGACGTATCTGGGTGCAACTCGAGTTTGCATTTTAACGCCGGTAAGTATAGTTAGGAACCGGACCTTTTAAAATCACCATAAGGCAGTGAGGTGGGACTAGAGAAGGGGAAGGTCTCTGTTCGGTGGGGAGGGCCATTGTGGCCGGAGTTAGTGTCGATGTTGCATGACTAAGGCAAGTCTGTCCGCCCTCCTCCCGCTTTGTCGTGTTTTATTCGGAAGGCGTTTTCCTTGGGGCTCCTGGCCTTTGGCGAAGGCTGCAGTGGGAGCGAATTGTGTTGATTATTTGTTTGTGTGGGAGAGGCCGCCGGCATGGCGAGACTTTAGTAGGCCGCGGCCCTCTGCTCGCTCTCCTACTCGCTATTGTTAGAAATGACTGGGCTGTCCAGTTCGCTGGCGTTTTAATTTATTATTTACTCGTTCCGACCTCGCATTGTTTAGAGCAACCTCTGCAAATGTGTCTCCTAACGCAGTTTTCTGAACGATCGCCAAGTCTTTGCGCTTCCAATCTGGTTACTTCCACCGTATTCTCTCTGCAGCTTTTATTTTTAGTTGTTATTTGTGGTAACACAGCGGGAAGGTAAACAAAAATGTTGGTTCTCGATTGTGATCCAGTACGTTTAGTCTTATGTTGTGTTTGATGCAATGGAAATGTGTGCAGGAAGGGGAAACTCCAACCACTGTCTTTGTTCCATGTTGACAATCGCTTTGCTGATAATATAATTTGCCAAGGATCACGAGGTCTCAATCTGGTACAGTAGCTTCTGAAGCTATTCTCCTGTTAACTCGTGTGAATCTTTTCGTGGTCTGTAATAATACAGGCAGCCCCAACACTACGTATATGTTGACGTCTTTTAGATGTAGCAGGTGCAAACTACGCCTGCTATAAAGGGCTTTTCCAACATTATAGTTTTCTTTCCACGTTGCCCCACTTCTAACTTTTAAACGCAACGTGTGCGTAGAAGTGTTATTTGGTTGCTTAGTCACTGGGATTGAAGTATCTAGAGTAACCAGGTAAAGCACTTACACATTGAAGAATTGTGTTGTAATGTAAATGATGGGGCAGGGGGTAGTGGTGGTGAGGAAAGGGTAAAGCTGGCTTAGTATTTGGAAAAGTGAAAAGTTGGCCTTTTTGGGCGGAATGCACTGTCACTAGTTTACTGAATAGGTTTTTCTCTCATGCTTCTAGCAGAGGATTACCTTTTTTGAGCTTAGTAAACTAGACTTTATTGTCCACCCCTTCCTTTCACGGTTTCTGCACTTGACGCTGCTTATTTTTGTCAAATTAATATGGAGGAATTGGTCAGTTCAGTTGGCTGAATGGCTGGTTTGCAATGTAGAGTGACACCAGCGTAAGCTGAGTTCTTCCACTGGCTGGAATTGCCATGAAGGATGCTACTTTTCAATCTCTTTCCCCTTTCCTGATGTAGGGTGATCCTTGAGTTAAACCACTGTGAGTGATCTCCGAGCAACCTGTGGTCTAGTGATCACACGATACTGAGGCAGTCCACGTTCAAATGCAGCAAGATACGCACAATAGTGCGGGGTAAGGGGTTGGTGTTACTGTTGACCAGAACCTCAACTAGACTCTTTTTGTATAAAAACTGACTACGAGAGCAGGTCAGAGGCTAGGAATTTGGCAATGAGGAGCTCACTCCCTGACTCCAAAGCCTGCCCATCATCTACAAAGCAATATTCAGTAGTATATTGGAATACATGCTCGTGGGAGTGTGACTCCAACAACATTCAAGAAACTTGAAGCCATCCAGTACAAATCAGCTCACTTGACTTGCCACCGCATCCAGTCACAACACTACCAATGCTTAAGAGCAGTGTGTACTATCTACAAGATGTGCTGCAGAAATTTGCCAGAGAACCTTAGACCACTTCCATCTAGATAGATGAGGGCAGTAGATACATGGGCATACCACCTGCAAGTTTCCCTCAAGCCATTTCCCATTCTGACTTGGAAACATGTCATAGTTCTTTGTTGCTGGGTCAAATCCTTGGAATTCCCTCCCTCATTGGCATTGTGGACCTACTTGAAGCACCTCACCACCATCTCATCATGGGTTTCTAGGGATGGGCAATAAATGGTGCTCAATCCATGATGACTGTCACGTGAATTTTCTTTTTAAAGACAAGAACTATGGCAACTTTATCTTTTGTAGTGTTGCAAAGAAGCACCCTTCTATTGTTTCAACAGGCTGAAGGATCAGTCTGCTGTCTCTGGGCCATTTGTATACTTAAATTTATTTCCTTGTGGGATGTGGGCATTGTTGGCTGGCCAGCATTTATTGCCTGTCCCAATTTGCCCTTGAGCAACTTGGGTTCTCTGCTGGAAGGTACTTTTCCTTTCCATGCAAGTGTAATACCTGTCTTTTTCTTTTCTCACCACTTTCCAATGTTTGAAATACTCATGGGATAGACTGTAATTTACTTGGGCATCTTGCAACCTTGTAAACTGTGTTCACTGCTCAGTGTGGTTCCCTCCGTTGTAAAGAGACCAAAAGAAAGTTGAATAGCAGTTTTGCTGATCACTGCCTGATCATGTTTAAGGTGCCAGGTGCTACCACTTTAATTCTGCATCCCATTTTGACTTAGGATTAGACTTATCAACCTTCTTCTATAACCACATAACATTGGTAAGACCTCCTGACTACTGTGAATAGTTTTGGCTTCTTTTATTTGAGGAGGGATACACTTGGTTGGTTCTCTAGGGATGAAGGGAAAGCTGAGCCTATCTTCATTAGGGTTGAGAAGAATGAGGTGATCTTGCAAAAATGTTTGAGGATCAACAAGGTAGATGCTAAAAGGATTGTTCCCCTCATGGGTGTGGAATGTAGAACTGGGGCACAGATTCAAAGTGGGTCTTTAATGCAAATGAGGAATTTGAGGGTTGTTTGTATTTGGAATTCTTTACTCCAAATAGCAATGGCAGTTGGTTGAGTATACTTGAAGCTGAAATAAACAGACTTGTAACTTGCATAGGGATTGAGGAGTATGGTGGACAGACAGTGATGTAAAAGTTAACAATTGCCTGCCACTTTGACACCACTGTTCTATGCCAACATTTCTCTTAGGCCTACCACTGTTCTTGAGGCTCAATACAAGCTCGAGGAATAACGCCTCATCTTCTGTCTTGGCATCTTACAATCTTTGGGATTCACTACTGAGTTTAATGACTTCAGAGCAAATGTACCTTCTCTATTGCTTACTTACCCCACTCCCCTAGGTCCTGTCCTGTGTAGGCTGCTCCCAATACTGCCAACCAACTATCAAAAAGTCTTGTTAGCAATCCAGCATAGTGACTGTATCCTGTATTCTTTCTCCCACCCCAAACCCTATCATAAATTTCCCTCCTCCTCCTCCCTCCTCCTAAAGTATTTTTAGTTCCGATGAGGGGTCACTGGACTAAATTCATTTAGCTCTGCTTTTCTGTACAGATGTTGCCATACCTGCTGGTCTTGTTTTGTCATGCTGAATGATCCTGTTCCTCTTCATACATCATTATTGCCATCCTGTGAATCAGCCGAGTAAACCTGTGCATTCCCATAGCCAGAGCATCCCTTTGGACTTTTTTTTTGTTCACTGTGTTCAGAGATGTTGTTACACCCTAGAGCAGGTGGTGCTTGAACCCAGGCCTCCTGGCTCAAAGGTAGGGACATACCATCATCATGAGATCAAAACTGCACCAGTCACGCCAAGGCTGTTGACAATTGTAGCATGACATCCTGCTCCTGTACTTTAACCAAAGCTAAGTCTTCTGTGATTTTTTTTTTTTTTTTTTTTTTTCTTTAAAGTATGAAGGTCCCTGAAAAAGATGAGGGTTGATTCTGTTGAAATAAAGATGAATTTTAAAACGAAAGTATATTGATACATCTGGAGCCTATGTGAGTCATGGCTTGGGTTAAATGAGTAGTTGGGTTCAGGCTGAGGATCGTATTTTTGAATGATCTTGGATTGATCAATGTCAACCAGAGGTGCATGATTGATCAAGTCTGGAGATAATGATCATAATTATTTTCACTGAAATTCTGGGTATGATATAGTCCAGCCCAACTGGAGTCTTAAATGTATAAGGAAGCAATGAAGATATGTGGGATGACTTGTATGTGAGATTGGGTAACTTTTATTTGAAAGGCATTGCCTACCTGTCATGCCTAATTTAAAGTAATTATGTATGCATTGCAGCAGTTCTTACAATACTTCTGGGTGGGGTGGGGAATACAACAGAAGTACCCCTACCTTAGCTAACAAAGAAAATTTTAAGGATGGTATTTAGTCCAAATGGAGTAATAAATCTAAAGTTACTAAAGAGTAGCAATCCTGAGGATTGATAGCAGTTGAGAATTCAGCAAAAAGAAGGCCGAGAGTTGAGCAATATTTCCTATAGTCTGTTCAGCCGTTTGAAGGATTTGCATATCCTCATTGTATGGATGCTTTAACTTCTGATTCCAGAAGTTGCTGCCATGTATGGATCTTGGAGGCCTGTACAACAGCAGGGAAAATTGAGGGAATGTAGATTTAAGCAGGGAAAATTGAGTAACCGTTTTCTTTTTACAAACTTTTACAGTCCTTAGGTTAATGAGGACAAATGTAGGTCACTTGCATCTGGAATGGGAGAATTGACTGTGGAGAGCAAGGAAATAACAGAAGATTAAATAACTACTGAGAAGAAGAACTTGAGTAACATCCTAAAACTGAGGAAGCAAGTGTCTATTGAGAAAGCAGAACTGAAGGAGACTGGTTTTGAAAACAAACCAGAGAAATTTCTGGGTCTGAAAGCTGATTAATCCTAAGGTCCTGATCTACATCCATATTTACAAGTGAGGTTACAGAAATAGTGAATGTGTTGGATGCCATTTTTGCAAATTTTTTAGATTCTGGAACAGTCCTGGTAGTTGCGGGTAGTAAATGTAACCCACTTGGTAAAGAGAAAATGTAACACTTTTATATGTCATAACATGTCTAGAGCAGGTGAGACTGGAGTCTGGACTTCTTAATTTGGACACTATCATTATGCCCCCAAAATTCCAGTCT